GAAGGGATTATAGAGTAGGTGACAATATCACTATGTTGTAGAAGGGCATAGTGTGTAAAGCATTAGTTGTACATTTATTTGTTGTAGATATGGCCAGTTTCATTGATTTCCATAGTAAAGCAAATATTGCCACTTATTAGATCTGCTTTGTTGGTTAATATTTTTTTGCTCGGTCAGATGTGTCCATTAGAATAATGGCTATGCAGTATCTGTTGGAAGTAAAATGTTGTCAATAGTGGAGGCTGGTATGCTGGTCCAGATAAACAATATTTTGAGTGTGGGGGTAACTATATATTTTTGATACCTAATCAAGAATAGAATGCTACAGATTTGTCACCATTAGTTTTTGACAGTGATATATTGGTGGTCAGTTAATGTTGTAAGTATTATCAAGGTCACTCATTTTGACATCCATTTCAGGGTGGACTTGAGAACATGGAGATGGCTCGTAGCTACTTCAGTCAAGCTGTGAAACTAAATCCCAATAATATGCGAGCATTGTATGGACTCTTTTTAGTAAGTTGAATTTTGTGTTTTCCTTTCAGAGAATAATAGACTAGTATGAAATAACATGTTCTTGTTGTTGTTTTGAAAGCATGAATAGATAAGGTAAACTTGGTGAAAATAAATAACCAGTGAGATCCCTGCCTCTTTGTTTATGCATTAGTATGAATTACTAGAAATCAGTAGATTTGCATTTCAACTCATTTATGTCGCGTTTGAACTAGTGGAGTTTCAATAACTTATGGAAGTTTCCAGGCATGAAAATTGGAAAGTTAAATTTTGTTGAATATATTTGTATAGGCAGTGTGTGTCAGCATAATCAATTTGTAGTTTAATCATTCATGTCAGTGAAATAAGATTTGAATGAAAATCTTTAATATAACCAGTGCACAAATTTAAGTTAGGAAATTTATCTAGTGAGAATGTTCTTAAGAATTATTTGTTTATTTGTAAACTTTAAAGATTTTAATACTAGAATTTAGTGTTTTGATTCATAAAATTCTTTTATTTACCAAAAAAAGAGTTGCACTCATGTTGCATCATCATCGAAGAGTACAGTGCCGAAGAAGAAAGAAACCCAGCGTTTAGCAGCATGGGCACTTAAGGAAATTGAAGAAAGGTAAAAGACCACTAAGGTTCATAGAATAACTGCCTTTATTTGTATATGTGATGATGATATCATATATTTAAAAATATGATTGATCAAAAAAAATTCAATGGCCTAATTTCTTATGTGAAAAGTTTAACTTATTACTGACATTTCATTTTATTAGAGTAATTCTTTGCACAATTTTTTTTCTTTTCCAGGTACTCAAAATGCAGAACAAACACCATGGAAGGTACAAACATTTTTGAGACCTTTGGTTCACTGAGCTTAACTGATAAAGCATGATAAACATAATATGCAGAATCATATATTCATCATTTGTTCTTTTGTATTGTAATAAATTTTGAGATGAGATATAATGTTGTATGTTGCCATATTGTCCCATTTTATACTCCCACATTACAAGAGAAGGTTTACATGCTGAAGTTTGTTCCTCTATATTTGGACATGAGTGTGAAGGTCACAGTTGAAGCATTCCTTTGTATAAGAGAACACTGTATGTATTGATTTAGACTATTTGGTACTAGCTTCACTTTTCTCCCAGGTGCCTTTGTTTGAAACAAAGGGGTGGTAGAGGTAGGCCAGATATTGTTTTTTATCAACAGTTCATTTTTCCCTGTTAACTCTTCATTTTTAATTCATTTCTTTTTTGGAGGCTAATGATATTATTCTGATCTAGGGGAAAGTTATTTCAGTTTGCTGGAAGCATGAAACCATTTAAAGCTCAATAAGAGAAGAATCATCTTGTTTGAGCTGATTGTTACATAGTGCAATGTATAATTAATTACTTGGAAAGTGTATTTCTAAGTTGAGTGACCCCATTTTGTGATTCTTGTGTCGTTTGTGAAAGGACAAGAATATAGGAATTCTGTCCAGAAGAATCATTCCACAGGCACAAAGAGTGTGTTGGGTATTATTCAGATATTACAGGCATTTTAAAGAACTGTAGGGTAGGTTTTTGACTCCAGCAAACTAATGGAATCCCTGTGCATTATTTTTGTTCTTAAGAATGGACAGTGTAATATATTTGTAAGACAAAACTGTAATATATTTGAACTATAATTGACCATTTGTAACAATGTTATGTACAGTCATCATGAAATACATTCATAACAAGTTATTGATCTTTGTGTTTTGTTTAGATTTTGCACATCAGATGTGTTAAACCAGATCAGACATCTTTTTACTGCCAATAACTTCTTTCAGAAAGAAGAATGAAAAGTCTGCCCATCTTTATTAATTTGTATAAATTGTGAAAGTTCTTCCTAAGGTGTTATTTTTAAATGTAGCATTTATTTGAAAATTTCACTTTCTTTGGTATATACACATCTAATCATTTCTAAGATAAATAAGGCAAGACCATCTGTATATATTGGCAGTTAACCCATT